TATACTACAAGGCCACAGTAATCAAAACAGCCTAGTAGTGGCATAGGAACAGGTATAGAGATCAATAGAATAGAACAAAACCCAGAAATCAACCCATGCCTATATAGCCAATTAATATTTGAGAAAGGAGAAAAGAACTGACAACAGAGCCTCTTCAATAAACGGTGTTGGGAAAACTGGACAGGTACATGTTAAAAAAATGAAACTAGATCACCAGCTTAAACTATACACAAGAATAAACTCAAAATGGATAAAAGACTTAAATGTAATTTGTGAAACTATAAAAATCCTAGAAGAAGGCATAGGCAGTGAAATCTCAGACCTCTCTCAGAGCAGTACCTTTTGCCAATATATCTCCTAGGGCAAGGGAAATAAAGGAAAAACAAAAACAACCCCAAAAAACCAAACAGGGCTACATGAAACTAAAAAGCTTTTGCAAAGCAAAAGAAACCAAAAAAAATTAAAAGGGAACCCATTGAATGGGACAGCATATTTGCCAATGATATATCTGATAAGAGGTTAATTTCCACAATATATAAAGAATTTGTACAACTCAACATCAGGAAGATAAACAACTCAATTAAAAATTAGGCAAAAGAACTGAATAAACACTTCTCCAAAGAGGATATACAGATGGTCAATAGACATGAAAAAATGCTCAACATCACTAATCGTAAGAGGGATGCAATTAAAACCACAATGAGATATCACCTTAGGACTGGCAGAATGGCCATCATCAATAAATCAACAAACAGCAAGTGCTAGCGAGAATGTGGAGAAAAAGGGTCCTTTGTGCACTGTTGGTGGGAAAGCAGACTGGTGCGGCCTCTATAGGAAACAGTATGGGATTTCCTTAAAAAATTAAAAATGGAACTACCTTTTGACCCAGCGATCTCTCTTCTGAGAGCATATCTGAAGAAACCCAAGACACTAACACAAAAGAATACAGGCATCCTTATGTGCATTTCAGCATAATTTACAATACACAAGTTCTGAAAATAGCCCAAGTGCCCATCAGTAAATGAGTGAATAAAAAAGCTCTGGTATATTTACCCAATAAAATACTGCTCTGCCATCAAAAAAAAAAAAAAAAAATATTACCTTTTGAGATAGCACGGACAGACCTGGAGATTACTATGCTAAGTGAAATAAGCCAGTCAAAGAAAGATAAATACCATATTATCTCAGTTATGTTTGGAATCTTATAAATAAATAAACCGACCAAAAAGAATAGAAACAGAGGCATAGATACATGGAATAGGCTAACAGCTGTGAGGGGGAAGGCGTTGAGAAAGAATGTGAAGGAATTAAGCAAAAAACATATAGGTAGATAGAGAGATCTACAGATATATATCTATAGGTATAGATATATACATAACACACAGACACAGACAACAGTATAATTATTTCCAGAGGATAGAGAGGAGGGCTGAATGGAGGTGGGCAAATCAGGGGAAAATGGGGATGGAAAGACTTCCCTTTGGGTGATGGGTGCACAATACAGTGTGCAGATGTTTTATAGTGTTGTGCACTTGAAACCAATAACCCCATAAATTCAATAAAAAATATAAATATTTTAAAATGAACGTTACCTAGTATTTTCAACTATGATTTTTTAATAATTTCCAAAATTTTAATGAAAAAGTGAAATAACGGTGTTTCAAATATATTACTATACATAGGATGACTATATAACTGATCACCTAAACAAGAATATGCTCAGAGATCAGAGAAATTCCAACAATGATCACATGGGGCCACGGGAGCAAGCCAAGACTATTGCAGGCAAACCGAAATGTATGATTACTTTCAGTAGGTGTTAAAATTCAAATTTTAATGCCTTCATCTAACTTTTTTCAGCACGGATTATACAGGGTATGGCAAAAGTAAGTTTACAGTTGTGAGTTCGCAAAACATTATCATTATTTATTAATGTTTGTATTGTTTTCCATTCAAAGAACTGTGAACCTACTTTCATCCCACCCTGTATTATGCAATTGAGCTATTCTTAATTTTCAGTCAGTCTCTCAATGATTTAGGAGATAATACTGTCCCCAGCATCACAACTACTTCATTTAAGCTGTCTAACCACATGTAACAACTTCAACCCTATCATCTGAGAGAGAACTTGCTTCCTCGTTCTTTTCATTTAATACAGAGGCAGAAAGGAAATGGATAGACCAAAAGCAAACCTGCAAACAAAACATCTTTATGTCCTGTAAATGTGTATCTACTAAAATGTGCTAATTTTCCAAATCTTTGTGATACTAAAATTCAAGTCACTCCTTTACAAGGAAAAATGCTAACATTTCAATTTTTAGTGCCTGCAATATCTTTCTCTCTTATTTTCATTTGTTCCTTCAACAGTTATAAGTTTACTATGTGCCAGGCACTGTACTAGGTGCTGGAAAAGCAAGATAAGAAAAGGCAAGAGGTCCTCAGGTGCCCTCTTACCTCTAGGACCCAATCAGAGCTGTATAAGGACAACACAAGCTTATAACTTCTGCTGCTGAAAGACTGTTTAATATGCAGCCACTGACCTCATGAGAAAACTTTAGAGTAGAATCCACTTTTCTAGGCACATTAATTACAATAATGGTTTTTAATTCTTTCTTAAAGTGAGCACTCAGACAATAAAATAATAAAACACAATATGATATACAATATAATACAGCAGAGTAAGCCATTCTGAACACTCCATCTCTGGCCACTACTAATCTGTATTTTGTCTCAGTTTGCAAAGCAGGGGAACACTGTGAAAGCATTTGTTGATCTCCTTTAAGTATCATAAGCCAATGAAATGGTAATATTTTCAACTACCACTAGGTGGTGGTAAAAGTCACCAGCAGGAAGCCAATGGATTGCTTTTTGAAGAATGAGAAGTATTCCTCACATTATCTTTATTAGTAATTTAGAACTAATTAAGAAAATACATTAGTGCTGAGAAATTTTATTAATCTTAGAAAAATATAAGCTATACAAAAGCATGAACTGCAGTGCAAAAGACCTAGTTTTTTAAAGGAATGAGTTCTTTGACATGCAAAAGTCTCAATGAAATAATCCTTACAACAAGGTAATGAAAAGTTTAATACATACTCTAATCGTTTCTGCTGGCTGAGAGATAGCTTTTCTGCTAATCCATATGTTTATATCACCTGAGTCTATGCTTTTGGCTTTACACTGCTTTTAGATCCAACACAAACAGTCCAGAATATCAAGTTACTTCAAGTTCCCCCAATACGCTATGCCTCATTGCTGTGCCTTTGATCTCCATGTCTCTTTCTGCCTGGAGTCTGTTTTACTGTATCACACATATGTGTGTCTGCATATTTAAAATATTTACTAAGCCTAACACTGGGAATAAAATAATGCCGTCTCCAATTCAAGTTTATATCCCAGTGATAGAAACAGGCTAAGTCACTACTGAAGACAGAGCATACAACACAGGATGACAGGGTTGTGGGACAGGTTCCAAAGATCAGGCAAAGGACAGGGACGTATTGCCCAGGTAGCCAGGAGCTCGGGGTACGTGGGCGATGGGGAGAAAGCTTCTGAATACATAAGAGGAGACTAGGATTGCAGAGATGCAGTATTAAGGGTAAAGAAAAGCAAGGTGCACAATGGCTTGAGAGGGTTTTGGCACAGAGCATTTTCAGAAAAACTAAGGACAGAACACAAGGGAAGTGACAAGGAGAGGAGGGACAATGGGCAAGGGTGGTCACAGAAACGCGTTCTGCCAGGCTAAGGACTCACGGCTTTTTCTAATCCTTGATGCTGCTGAAAGCTTTTGGGCTGGGCAATAATGTGATCAGCTTTTAATTTTTATTAATATTAAAAAGCTGTGTATTTATTAGCTGTGAGCGTGGACTCTAGCAGTAGAGCCAGGGTTCAAATCCTAGCACCACCTCTTATTCTTTGTATGATGTTGGACAAATTACTTCACCTCTCTGTGCCTCAATATGCTCATCTCTGAAATGGGGATAACGAGACCGTTACATCTCTATTCGGGTGGTTACAAGGAACACTTAGAACAATGCAATTGTTTTTTAACACTGCACTCTAGTGGCTGGTTGTGAGAAGGCAATTACAGCAGAGACAGGCTGTTGCAGAACCTGAAGCAAGAAAGGCTAAATTGAAGTTCAAGACAAAATAATGGCTGTACCATGAGTCATGGTTGGAGCCCTGCCAGACTTCCACTCCGCTGAATGTGTGCCACCACTGCAGCCTCCTGGCTTGAGACTGACACTGGCCTCTCTACCTGTGGATGCCACCAGTGACGAGGACTTCATGCAGGGCGCTTGCTCTGATCGCGTCTATCCCGTAAGCTCCCCGTCTCTGTGTGTAACCTGAGTGTGACTCTATTGGCTTATTAAAGAGGTCTCCCCTAAGAATCCTGGCATTGTGGAAAGGCAAAAAAAAAAAAAAAAAATTTAAAAAATTTAAAAATTTTAAAAAAATTAAGTGGCACCACTTGAATGTGGTAAAGGAGGCAGAAATAAAGAGGATCAAAAGGGGTTGGTTAATGATGGGATGTGAGCCAAGAAACAGATGGAGTCCCCAGGGAGGCTCTGGCTTCTGACTTAGAAAATTCTTAGACATTGAGATCAAAAGACATGACTTTTTCTCCTATTAGGCAGAACAAATAGAGCCAGATGACTGACAGGGCATAAAAAAACAGCATGAAGGTGGGAAAACCTGAAGGATGATTAGTTTAAGAAGTGACAGGTAAGTGAGCATCAAAACCCTTGTCTCTGCCTGCCTGCCCTCTGGGGCACAGATCACAAGACACAGTGTCTCTCACACTCTATTACATTTATTTTCATCTCTATGTCTCACCACTGACCACATATCAAGACCATTTCTCAATTATTCTCATATCCCAAATACCTTGTATGTTAAGTGTTTGCTGAGTGTTTTGAGAAGAAGAAGGAGAAGGAGACAGGGCGTGCCAGGCTTTTGAAAGATGAACAAAAATGCAAACAATAATTAAATTTTTTTACCTGCTTCAGATTCAGGAGGAGAATAAAACTGACCATCAGAAAGACCACCAGGTATAAGTGCTGCCCTCTCCGAAGCATCCTGAACTATCAGGAGTCCTGGAAGAGAAGAAATTCAGATGCTGGGAATGAGATCATTGTTCTGGTAGCTTCTAAGCAAGGTTAATTAACCACAATAAAATGATGCTAATACTGTATTTTTTAAAAAAACTCTTAGCAAAAAGAGGTACTTTAAAAATATTCTAACCAAAAAAGTAAGTTTTTATAACTATGAACCTGTGCTATAGGGACAGATTCCAAGTAGTTTTTAAAAACTGCCTCGTTACTCATGCCATTCTTTGATTCAGTATCTACAGCATCTTCCCTTGAGAATCCATCCTCCCAACAGAAATAACATTGAGATCAAAACACAAAGCTAAATAAAAAGCTTGGTCAGCTCATATAAATGGCCCCCAGCCTGCATGTTGTTGGAGAAAGCCAGGTGTGAAACATAAGAAACGAACATAACTTTGTAAGTATAAAAAGAGTAATTAAGATGGTGAAGAAATATTTATCCATTAAAAAAGTCCTTAGAAAAGAAAGGTATTAAAAAAAAAAAAAAGAAAAGGAAGCATGATGTGGATGTCTCAAGAACACTAACACATGATGAGAGAGGCCATCAAATATGAGTTCTTTTGACTGAACCTGAGTTAGCAATGAGAAAAAGTTGGATGAAGCACTAGGACAGAGAGCAGGAATCAGGTATGCGTGTAAAATGTGCTACAGATAGTGAAAATAAACACTACTGTAAAATTTTTCATTAACTGTGTGTTCTGCTTTATTAGTTATTTTGAACTTGGCTTAATTATATAAGCATTCAGGCCTCAGTCATTAACAGTTGTTCTGTTTTCAATAAAGTACAATTTCATCTTTATATACAATTTAAAAAATCACTCCCATTAACTTTATTGGTCCCTTCCCCACAACGCCACAATGTTTTCATTAAGGAAAAGAAGGCAGAAGACAGATACAGCTTGGTCTCATTAATTTGTCTTAAAACCTACTCTTGAGTAATTAATTCTTTCTTATAGATTTTTGTAAATGAGATTTTCCAAAAGAAAACCATTTGCAAGGTTCCTTTTCCTTTTGCTGTTCCCTGAGGTTATAATCGTGTTTAACTTTACATAAGACATGACTTTTTTTCCTATTAGGCAGAGCAAATAGAGCCAGATGACTGACAGGGCATAAAAAAACAGCATGTCTTAAATCTGTCTAGGTCTTTGCATTGAGCCTGCCCCGTGTCACACCTCCAGGAGGGTGGGCAGGGTATGTGGGCTTCCACGAAGGCCATCATTTGGAAAAAATTCCTGCTCAATAATCAATCATAAAGTTCAATGAATCATTTGGCCTTCTTAGTCAATCCAGGAATACTCAAAACCACACAGGGAGATTACAACAGCTTTGACAAGACTCATGATTCTACAGTGCTGTCATTCAGCTCCTCAGAGGAGGACAGTGAAAGCCAGAGATGGCCGAGCATTTCCTTGTCTGCTTTTTCCTCTTTCTGAACTCCATCTTCATCATTAACCCACCAAGAGTTATATCTAAGCACTCAACTGTTCTAATTGTAGGCCATTCAAAGCCACTAGCTGTATGGACAGCCATCTGAAACTCTGGGGAATCAGAGACTTTTAGAATTGCTGGCTCAGTTCCCCTGAAACTGTTTTACATTTCTCTGACCCTAGACAACAGTTCTGTTTAGAGGCACAAAGTGCCTAGTGTCCTGTGGGTATTATTAACAAAGAGAAAAAAAATCAACCTGTCTGAGGAGAAAGAGGTGTTGTCTATTTTTATTGTTTGAATGAGTTTTTCACCAGTGTTCACACTTCTTCTAAGGAAGCCAGGTCTGACAGCTGGAGAAAGGAGCCACATTCTGTCACTAACCTTTCATCCAACCCTTCTTGTGATTTCTGCTCTACCCACTAAAGAAGGAGACACGGCCTTCCACCTACCTGCAGCTCCATTCAAATCCAGCTCAGTATCTAGCCAGTCTCAGAAGGCTGACTTTGAGACAAACTTACTGTTTTCTTCTTCTGCTTCTTGAGGTAACACTTTGAAATCCAGGAACCATGTCTCGATCCAAGCAAGAATGAATGAAATAATGGGCAGCACATAACCAAAAGCTCCTTGAGAGAAAAGCTGAAAAACAGACGTGACCAGCAGAGGGAAACACAGTTACCATGAGCTCACAATGGAAAAAGAGGCTTGGTCATTGTAGTTGGTACTGTTCAGAAAAAGTGGTAGGTCATACCTTTGAGAGGATCACTTTTGCTAGTAAAAAGGCACTGGTCACTGCTGTCGTCAACTGAAAGACACATAATTTGACACCACTCAAATTAGACATTGTACATTGTAGAGGCACGTTCCTCACACGAGACCCACCTGAACCAGACGCACGTAAAGCCTGAGAAAGCTATGCCCCACCTGGCTCCTTCCCACATTACTTTATCTCTATTCCCTAAACCCAGACTGCGGTAAAGGCGGCTTCTATGTGGCACACAATCCCAGGCTGGCTCTCATGGCTTCCTGTCTCTCACATTTTAGCAGACTGGTGTGTTGGGAAACTAAGTTTTATCCAGACACTATCACAAAGAAGGAGGGACAGTGAAATACAGAGGTAAGGCTCCCCCTAGGGGTTGGGATTATCCCACAGGACCTGGCCTTGACACGCCATCCTCTAAGATTTGTAGCGATATGAAACCCAACCAAAGTGAATGCCAAAGAGTAGCCTTGACTGACAGAATGGGGGTCAGGGGACATCAGGGGTCATGCTCAGTAAGTATTAACAAAGTTACAGAGTCAGTACTTGTTAGCAAAAACACAACCAGCTAGCACACCAGCGCCAGCATGCACACAAACACCAGCCAGAGTGAGCCACTTGGGAGAAGCAGCATTTTACATTCTGATACTAATTAACTTTACAGGCTAAACTAAGTGCTCTTTAGATATCAGCTGACTTCTTCCGGCCCTTTCTACAAATGTTTTTAAAAATAAAAATCAGAAACAATAAAATGAGTGGGTTAAATCTGACCTGTCCTTTTGATAATTTATCATCAGATATTGAAGATAACTTTCTTAAAACTCTCCTAGAGTATCAACCACTTTTCTGAGGGAAAAAAAGAAAAACCACTGAGACAGGTGGACTGACAAATACTAGTGTACATTGCATGTTAAAGAGATTCAAATAGGTACTATTATAGCAAATTGGGAAGGACCAGTCATCGCAGCTCTTTGGTACTGGCAAAAGCATATTTAAGACAGGGTGTCAAGTCTGGCTAAACTGTCAGCCCACATTCAGGAAACATGAGTTTGGGGCTCAAAAGAGAGTCTAACGATTCTATGGATGCTCAGAAGAGACGGCCCAGGCAGAGGTGGCCCCGGGCGCACTCTCTGTTAGGAGTGCGGGACAAGCCTGGGACCGGCCAGGCGCAGACCTCGGTCTCACACTCCCACGGCGGGACTGCAGTTTACTCTTCAGCAGCATTCCCCTCATACGCCTGCCCTATTAGGGCCCTCAGAAAGGTGAGTGTTCAGTGTCTACAGAAATGGCAAAAGCAATTCAGGCAGAATTGCTTATAATTCTTTCAATCAATAAATATTTATTAAGGGTGAACAGCATGTGTCAAAGCATGCTCGCTGCAAGGAAACACATGAGCAAAAAGGCCACTGCCTTTAAGAAGCCTAAAGGCAACAATAAAAAGGAAGATGAGGGCTTCTCCTTTTAAAATTAGAGGGAAATGAATAAAACAGGGAGAAAGGCAATTATGAAAATAAGCAGATAGCAAGTCATGAAAAAAATCACCAAGCAGTTTCAACCAAAGGGAAATTTTCTAAGTATCTTTATGACAGAGGTACTGACCTTACCTCTCACCGTAAAATGAGGTAGAGGGAGGGCTGGTGCTTGGCCAGTAATCCTGCTGGGACTCTAGATCTCTCATTTGGCTCAGTATCCATACGGACAAACCTAGTCAGTCATTACCACTGGAAAGAAGCCCTGGAGTGTTATACCTGTTGAAGTGTGGAGGAAAGGGGACTCAGGAAAAGCTAGCAGAATTCAGCCTAGGTGAAAACCTCCTCTTCTCCTAGCTCAGCCCTGTTGTGAGCAGGTGCTAGCCACCAGCACAGAAGGAGACAAACCATTCACCCAGGCATACTCACCGCTATTGCCCACCAATGGCGCAGTCTGCATACAGCATAGGCAAGTATTAACACTTTGAATCGAAAAACTGCCAAAAGCTATATTAAAAAAAGACAAGTTTTTAAAAATACATACAAAAGTAAGCAATTTAGTTTTCTGAGGAACCCACCAAAGTGCCTTCATTATTCTGATTTAGCTGAAGACTGCCACAGACTAGCATTGGTCTATACGCTAGCATTCGAGATTCCTGCTCTAGAACTTATATAATACCACTCAAATAAGTATTTAAATCAACTTCTCATTCCCAAGAAAAAGATATAAATTAAATGCTTGTTTTTCCTTTCTGTTTGAGTCCATATATATATTTGATATACTTTTAAGATTGGAAAACATGTTATGAAAGTTCACTTATCCACTTCAGGAACAAATGCTCACTACCGAAAGGCAGCATGTTTTTAGTCAAGTCTACTGTAAAGCTCTGGGTTACTGGGATACTGGAAGAGTTCAGCGTACGCCAGCAGCTACTATCTGATTACTTAGGGTGATTCTGGGATTTTTGTGAAACTCTTTAGTGTATTATTATCCCATGTAATCCCCACCACAAAAACCATGGTCAACTGCTATCATCAAACCTATTACACAGATAAGATGGGCAGAAAAATTGTGAAAAACCACACACTCAGTGAGGAAGCCAGGCTTTGAATCCAGGTAGCGTGACTACAAAGATCACTATACTCTTAACCACTATAGTACAGCTGTCTTAGTAACTAGGAAATAAACACAGAATAAAGGGTACCAATTTTACTTAGAAAATATGCTTATTCTGAGTTGGGAGAAGTCAGGCTGACTCCTGAGACTCAGTGTTGGCATCGGCCAATAGTTCCTCACTAATCAAACTGCCGAAAGGCTGGAGGCTAAACTTTTTTTCTGCCGTTGACTAGATAATCTCACATAAGATCCTTTTACATGAATGAAGTTCACAAGTTGTATTTGTTTTTAATTTGCTGTTTTCATTAAAAATGTGTTTCCCAACAATTTCCTAATCATTTAGTTTCTCTACTCATTCCAAACTCTGTGTTCTGGACTTGGTGAAAGAGTAAGTCTCTATCTTAAAAGTCTCCCAGATCCCAGTTTCCTAGCCCCTGCATGGGAGTTCTTCCTCTCTAAGCTATTTGTCTAGTAACCCCCTAAACTTAAGAGTACAGACAACCAATGGAGATCTAGAGTCTAGAATTCAGTACAATTTGGGTTTATTCAGTACAATAAACCCAAAAACTTCAGGGGGAATTTTTCATTGGCGCCAGTGAGGTCGCCTTCATGGAAACTTTTAAGCAAGTCCTCGACTCACAGAAAAGGTCAGTGTTGAAAAAAGATACTTGTCCTGTCATATATGGAACAAAATGGCACATGGAGAAATGACTTGGTAATTACAAAAGATAAGAAATAACTGCAAGTGACTTTTATGGTCAGTTACACACTTCGATCTGAACATCAAAAACTTACAACCTTATTTGAGCACAGTGTTTTAACTGGAAATAAAGAAAATCACATTAATGGCAACTAATTACTTTTTAAACTCCCGATCGGGATTCCTGTTGGTGAAAGAAAAAAAGTAATGAATGTTGCAAGAGTAGGAGGAGGCCCAGCACTCTGTCTGTGCCGTGTTGGCGGGAGGCCTTCCCGCCTTCCCAGGAGCACCAGGCGGCCGTCCTGCTCACCGCCAGCTTTGAAGAGTCTAGACTTCAATACAACTACCAGGGGATTAATCTGGCTTCCTGGCAATTCCTGACTCAGGCTATTTTAAGGTAAGTTCAGCAAGGGAAATAAGGGGAAAAAAGAGAAATCAATTTTGTTGTTTGTATGTCAATAATTTCAAAAGAAATAAATATCAAGAGATTTGGAATATAACATGTTCTGCCACCAACTTCAATGACCTAGGGTAGTTCAACACACTGAACCGTGAAACTGGATTTCTTACATTAGTGGTTTTCAAAATATTCTGTAGCAGCCAAACACTTTTTCTTCTTTAGACACTATAAAAAACCCTAATACACAATACAGATAAGAATGAACCCTAACATATTACACAGATAAAAATGAACCCTAAGATACTATACAGATAAAAAAAATACCCTTAACATACTATGCAGATAAAAATGGAACTAGTTAGGCTGCAAGGGGGGAATGACAAGGATCCTGATCTTTGTTTAGTGGGAATTCCACTTCTTTCCCCATACACACTTCTGCAGTCCCCTTCAAAAACAAAACAAGGCCTTTTAGAGCTGTTTGAAAGCCATTTGAAAATATAATTATTAAAATTCTCAACCATAAATAATGACAGTGATTGCAGGTGATTCTTTTCAGCAGGATGTACCTGTTTTCCATGTATTATTTCACTGACTTTTCAGTATGATGATGATCTAATTTTAAATACTGAGGAAACTGAAACTTAGACCTAATCTATTCACAGAAATAAAACTAGTAGTAGTGTTGTGAAAGTCAGATTTTCCTGACTTTAAGGGTCCTACTTGTAACCATTGCATATACAGTTTCTAAAGAGAGTGAATAAAGTAGTTAAAATGAATTTAGGGGAACTCACTGTGAATTTTAATTGTCTAGGCTGTGTCTAGCACAATGTTAGCCTCTGATTTACTTACACTATAAAGAGATACCATGGAGATGTCTCAAACCCAGAGTCACGATGTTTCCTAAAAAGACAATGCTAGCCTAAAATGTCTGCCTCACCTACAGACAAATGCATCTACGTAATTCCACAACTGGCTCATGTTGTCCACGACTACCAATATAGAGCTTTCCTCAAATTCTATCAGAGAAGAATGAAACACATGCTTATTATTAAATAAAAATACACTGAGAGAGACTCGAGATGGCGGAGGAGTGAGTGGAAGTCACACTGACCTCCTTCCAGAACCAACCTGGAATTACAACTAAATTATGGAGAAATCACCTGGAACAAACAACTGAACAATAGCGAGAGAGGAGCCTTGTAACCTTGGGGACAGAAGAATCGGCTTTAGCGCAATCTAACTGGTAAGGAGTGCGGTATAGACCTGAGAGGGCGGGTGAGGCGCCCATGGGCAGCAGCACTAGAAGGATATTAAAAAGGTCAGTTGGATCCCCGTGAGAAGAGCAGGGTCTAAACCAAAAGCAGAGATCTCTAGTCCACAGCACCAGAACACAGAAAGTACACAGAAAACAGCCAGCTGTGAAAAGCGGCAGGGCTGCTCTCTGCCAGAGACAGGCGGCTGGAGATGCAAAGAAATGTTTAAAGGACCAGAGAATAAATTTTTGTTTGCAGCCACTTACCTGGTCTCCAGCAAAGGCGGGGGCAGAGTGGGCTAGAAACGCCTGAGGAGACACTGGGGAAGGAGGCTTTGGGGAGAGAACTGAGAGAGTAGCTGGTGGGATCTCGGTGCTGACTCATCCCCCACGCAGCAGCAGCCAACTTGCTCAGGTACAGACCACTCCCCCTGAGTGGCACCAGTGTCAAAGGACCCAACAGCCCTGCCCCATGCTGTTTAAGCTGCCTGCTGAGTGCAGAGTGGCAGCCACAGACAGTAGATCCCTGGCTAAAGGGGGCACAGAGATGTCTGGTGACACTGAGGGGAGACTGGAGAAGGAGGCTTTGGGGAGAGAACGGAGAGAGTAGCTGGCGGGATCCCAGTGCGGACGCCTCCCCCCAGCGGCAGCAGCGGGAGAGGACCCAATAACCCCGCCCCTAGGAGGGACTCCGCCCCCACCCTGAGCTGTCTAAGGAGGCCTGCTGAGTGCAGAGTGAATAGCTTAACAGCTGAAGGAGACAGCCACAAACAGTAGATTACTGGAAGTCTCAAACAGACTGTCTAAGGTCAGACAGGGTCAACATCTGACATTATCAGAGGCAGATCCACAAGGTAAAAACAATGGTCTCCAACCATAGACGTTCACACCACAAAGTCAGGAAATCAAGACAGATCAACTCAAGAAGCAGAAGCAAAAGAGAAGAGTCTCACAAATAATGGGAAGACAAAGAAATACACCCCACTCGAAGGGAAAGGAGGAATCACCACAAAGAGAACTAAATGAAATACAGGCAAGTAAACCATCAGATATTGAGTTCAAAACAATGGTTCTAAGGAAGCTCAATGAGCTCAGTGAGCTCAGAAAGAATTACCAAAAACTTCAGGGAAACTACCAGGAACTTATGCAAACTACATCAGCATAAAAAAGAACATGGAAACTATCAGTAAGAGACAAGAGGAAATGAAGAATACAATTTCTGAATTGGAGAACACAGTAGAAGCAATCAAAAGCAGGCTAGATGAAGCTGAGGACTGAATCAGCGAGCGGAGGATGAGGTAGAAAAAAGCTCCCAGGAAGAGCAAGAAAATGAAAAAAGACTCAAAAAGAATGAAGAGGCATTTAGGGAAATGCAGGACAACCTGAAATGGAATAATATCCGCATAACAGGGATACCAGAAGGAGAAGAGGATGAGGAAGGGATAGAGAACCTGTTTGAAAAAGTAATGATGGAAAACTTCCCTCACTGGAGGAGAGAAAAAGTCACCCAAGTCCAGGAAGCACAGAGGGTCCCATTCAAGAGGAACCCAATGAGGCCCACTCCAAGAAACATCATCATTAAAATGGCAAATATCAAAGGCAAACAGAGAATTCTAAAGCAAGCAAGGGAGAAAGAGGTAGTGACATATAAGGGAGCCCCAATACAGCTGGCAGCTGACTTCTCAACAGAAACACTGCAAGCCACAAGGGAATGGCAAGAAATATTCCAAGTCATGAAAAGCAAAGGCCTGCAACCAAGACTGCTCTACCCAGCAAGGTTCTCAATTAAAATGGAAGGCGAAATAAGCAGTTTCCCAGACAAAAGAAGGCTAAAAGAATACACCTCCACCAAACTAGAATTGCAAGATATGCTAAAGAGACTGCTTGAAAATGAAGAAAAAGTTTCTATGAATACCTAGTTCCTTTCAGAGTTGCCAATACTTGATAGTACCAATATTTTTAATACTCATTAATCTGATTGTGCAATGATGTTATTTTAGTTCTTCCTTTATTATTTGTTGAAACCTAACCTGTTTTAGTGTATTTCTTGCCCATTTCTATTTTTTTTTAAAAGCTTTAAATGACTTTTTGGTATTCTTTATCCATTTATTGATTTAAGGTTCGTAGAACTTTTTTCCCTAAAAAAACAAAATAAAACCTATTAACCATATTTTCGATGTGTTGCAAATACTTTTCTATTCTATTCCTGGTCCTTTAACTTTTTTTATATGTATATTACTATATAGTCTTAAATGTTTAATATAATCATAATGTCAATATTTACTTTATAGCTTCTTAGTTTGAATATTTTACTTCAGGTCATGAAAAATATTAGTTCTATTTTCTTCTTAAACTCCTTAGATTCTACGTATTGATTTTTAACTCTCCTGAATATTTCTTTTATAATGTGTGAAATAGGACTCTATGTGTTTTATTTCAAGTAATAGTGGTCCATGCACCTTATTTGTTGAGTAAGACTTATTTTATCCATTGATTTGAAATATCAACTTAATCATATATTATATTGTTAGATATATACATTTGTCTCTAGAATGCTCATTATATTTCATTGATCTACTTGATTATTTCTGTGCTGATGTCATGTTGGTTTAATTGCTGAGACTTTATAACGGTTTTAAATTTGATATTTTATAGTTACCTTTGACATCTAAAAAAATAAAATCAATCTGCATTTAAGAAAGAAAGACAGAAAGAAAGAGAGAGAGAGATGGAACTCCTACCTTTTGCGACAACATGGATGAAACTGGAGAATATTAAGCTAAGTGAAATAAGCCAGCTGATGAAAGACAAATACCATATGATCTCACCTATAAGTGGACTCTATTCAACAAAATAAACTAACGAACAAAATAAACCACAGGCATGGAACCATGGAGCAGACTGAAGGTGACCAGAGGGGATGGGGAAAGAGGATAATGGTTGAAAGAAAGGGAAGGGACTAGACAAAGAACATGTATGAATGACCCATAGACATGGACAACAGAGTGGGAATTGACTGTGGGAGCGAGGGGTGGGGGTGGGATGGGTGGAGGAGGGTAAAGGGGTAAAAATTGAGACAACTGTAATAGAATAAACATGATTTATAAATTAAAAAAAGAGTATTCTCACTAGATATAAAAATTAAAAAAATACACTGAAATCTATGTTGAGACAGAAAAGAAACTGCATTTTCATGCTGTCATTATATAAAGATAGAAATTTTCCTTTTAGTGATTAGTAGTCAATGGTTTCTATTTCGGCCATTTAAAAGAAAAAAGGCTTTTCTCCAAGAAAATCAGAACAGCTTCTGCTGCCTCCCTCACCTCTGATTATTCTTTTTTATCCTTGAAGTGAACAGATAATTCCTTAGAAAGAGGGAAAGAGAAGAATGGGCCAGTAACTAAAGAAGAGAAAGGTAGAGTTCAAGGGTAGAAGCAAATAGAACTGCACAGGATTTGAGATCTATTGAAAGGAAATTTGCCTTTTGGTTAACTCATCATATCTGAAATAAAATATACAACAGAGAATACTTACAAATATATCAAAATAAGAAGAGTAGAAGTCATAGTGTACCACCTCCTTCTCTAATGTGTTCTCAATGCCTCCATTCACCTGGGAGGGAAGAGGAAAAAGTAAAAACAAAAGATTCGTAAGTGAAAGTGATACAAGAAACATATAAATAAGGTTCCATATAAACTTTTCTGCCTATCTTCTCAGAATTCAGAAATGCTAAAATATAGAACCCTTATACTTCTAAATAGGAAAATGCTAAACGGAATTCTGAATTCATTCAACAAATGTAAATGTATAATGAAAAACAACGCATTTTTTGTAGTTCATATTTTGGCAAACTAAAATTTTAAATTAAAAAAACACCCTCAAACTTTATTTCAGAAGAGAAAAACTTAGCCCAAACTTAAAATCCTAGAAACATATACTTTGAAAAAAGACAATTCATATTTCTCTAGGGCTTCTCTCACTTTCTAATCACTCTCTACTGCTTTAGGTCTTGAAAGTAGATTTGACAGAATGTACTTTTAGACTGGAATGGAGTCTGAGAAATACAAAACAAGCTAATCAATCAAGGATGAGACTACATTTGAGGCCTGAGCACCTGGGTATAGTTAACTGATGAAGAAGAAAGGGAAAGGCAGGGGTGGGTGTATGCTGGGGGAGACCATGTTAAGTTAGACATCCAACTGGACATGGCAGGTAGGTCACAATAGAGCAAGACACTAACTTCTGGAAGATCTCAAAACCATGTCTTCTAGTCTACTCTGGAACCTGTAAGAGCTCCCTATTACAGTAAGTCCAACATTTCTACATAGGAAAGAATGTTAATAGTCTAGAACCAGCTTACCTATGCCAAGTTCATTTTTCTACAAGCATTTTCTGTAGACACTTTCTAGCTGGACTAATATTTCCTCTGTCTCTGCCTGTCTCCTCCAACACACAGACACGTGCAACCGCAAGCACACACTCCTGCTCCAGTGCTTCTGCTTACCTTGCTCTCCAAACCCTTTCCCTATTGTTCCCACAATCTAATTCCAGTTCATTCTCCTATCCCAAATTCCACCCATCCTTCTACCCAATCTTCCACATCCAGTTCACAGTCCATCTTCTCCACTTACTCCTCAGATAATTCCAACTCACTGACTTCCCCCTAATCTGAATTTGTTACAGTTGGTTATCACAGTGTAACTACAGAACATAGTGACAGCGGATAATAAAATCAGAATCAGAAACAGGAGAGTAGTAAGTACCTGAAACATAAATGTAACAATAGTGAGAGAATAACCAACATTTTCCCTCTTTCACGGTAAAAATTATTTCAGTTAATAATAAATTACATAATCTATAATTGTGAAGAGTTTTATAACTGCAAGGGGCTGCTGTACAGGATATTATTTTCACTTGATCCTCACAGGAATTCACAAGGCAGGCAGGACAGGAATTAGTTCAGCTCACTGAGAAACCAAAACCTAGAGAACTGAAATGGCTTGCCTCTTAAGGCCGCAGAACTGGTCATGATTGTTCCCGGTTGAATTAGAAGCATTTTGACACCTTCTAGTACACCAGTTAGAAATTAATAAAACAAGCAGAGCCCTTTTTCGAACCATAATCTCATTCAAAGTGTCAAAGCTAAAATAAACTACTTCCTTTCTGTTGCTTTTTGGATCCCTGTCCTTATCAGTCTAAAGAGTCTGAGGGAGAAGAGTTTAAAGAGAAAGGACAGTCCTCAGGGAATTCAAGCCATGGTGAATTCCAGATTCAATTCCAGCCATCAGTTCACTCGGGGGTGCACTAGGAGGCCCTACACAGAATCAGAACCATCCCTTCAACTAGCCCAAACATCAGCTGCCCTAAGGTCCTCCAGAGGAAAATGAACCACTGTGGTATAAGGCTTCTGTAGGCTCACCCGTCTGCACTCCATGCTGGGTCAGTGCCAGTCAACTCCCTGGAGCAGGGAAGCAAAGTGGCTACGCCAAAGTCATATATAAATGCAAAGTATTTTGGTATTGTTATGATTGCATAGAACAGTTTGGTCCCCATATGCTTCTGAAGGCCTAAGTACCCTTTATGCTATTTCTTTTTTTAAAGAAAAATACTAGAGGCAATATAAGACATGTATATCTCCTTAGCTAAACTTTATTATCTTTTTTGTGGAACTTGCAACACCTGAAGCAGCAACCTGTACCCTGGTACTCAGTTAATGTACAGAACAAACTGACAGTAACCAGAGGGAAGGGGGAGGGGGATAATGGGGTTCTCGAGGAACATGTATAAAGGACCCATGGACAAAGCCAAAGCAGGCGTGGGACTGAGGGTGGGAGGTAGGGGTGGGTGAGCCTGGGGAGAGTGATAGCAGGAAAATGGAGACAACTGTACTTGAACAACAATAGAAATTTTTTTTAAATGAATTTGAGTGATTATTTACAGAGAGAGACAAAAGAAAATGTATCGTACTGTGTGTAGGGAAAAACCCACGTCAGAATTAACAATTCAAAGCAAACAGAACTAGAAATTGAATGTCTTAAAAAAAATTTTAAAAGTCATGATATACTATCTTAAAGATCGTATACTTTTGTGTGATCTTTTATGACTGAGTAAACTAGAAATCAATGGAAAAGTGAAGATAAAAACACATTTCTTAATTGCTAGACCTGGTGATTTTTCACTTGTAACACATTGCTTAGATGTAAACAGATCGCTTCTGATGAACAAGACCTAGTGCAGCCCACTTCACTTCCAGTCCAATTTTTTTTAACCAATAAAAAAGGAGAGAAGTGAGAAGTGTGATCCTGTGATCACAGCTCTGTCCCATGGCCTCTGTCACTTAAAAGCATGTAGCGATATTAGTGGTAAATCAGTGAATTCCTTGATTTTGTGCTGTCACTGCAATTGTTAAGTGTACTCCCCTAACACTGCTGCTATGCTTTCTTGTTAAAAGATGCATTTCTTTTTCACCCCTCATTATGCGGCTTTTAGTTTTAAAAATATATTACTCCTTAAATACATATTAATTTAAATATCTTCTCTTATGTGTACATATGGAACACACAGGAAAAGAGATATGAAATTACTGTGACATATCACTGGTTTTGTTGGTTTTAAACAAAAATAAGGCATATCTACAGTGCTAGATTAATAGAAGAAAACTCTGTAAACAGAAACTTAATAGATTCATGCTGCATATTACTGTGATTCTCAAATAAATCTTATTTTCTAATATAAGTATCTGCTGTCATGGAGTTTTGTTTCTGTATTAGTATAAAATTCAATGAGCCCAATTAACCTAATTTCTGAGAGTCTAGAGTCCAGAACTAAAATTGCAATTATGAATCAGAATATTGAAGTTTAGATTAAGATGTTGACTCTACAAAAAGGCAAAATCAAAAAATAATTTCAAAGAATCTCAGCATCTTTTCATATTTTTTTATATTTTAATAAATTTCTTATAAAGCACCTAGCACTATGCCTAGCAAAGAGTAACCTCTTAATAAAAAAACAACAGCCAAAAACTATTACTACCTAGGACTTAGCAAATATGTCTTGGAAATAAATGAACTATTGAAAATGGAGAGAGCAAACCACATTTTCCTGGGAGAAAAGCACTTTCGAAGAGTTTACCTATTATTGTTGGTAAGAAATGTAAACAGAAAACCAAGGCTTTTGGAGAAAACAGATTATGTTAGGTTAAATAGAATACATTATTAACTTCACCTGTCACCTTTTTACTTTTACTAAATAAATGTAGCAACTAGAGAACTTAAAATAACACATGAAGTTTGCATTATACTTCTACTGGACAGTGCTAGTCTAGCCCAGTTATTTTCAACTGGTGAGCCACAAGAATTTTTAAAGCATGCAACACCTGACTATGTAGTCAGGGGCACTGACTGATCTCTTTTTTCTTAGACTGTCAAATTAAAAAATGACAACAGCCAACACAGTAATAGTCATCTGATGTGAATGAATCAAAATTATACCTATTTTTTGTTGGACTGGCAAAAAATACATCTTTTGATGTGCCCCAGAACTTTAGTAATTGGTTTATGTGTGCCATGAGATTAAAAAGGTTGGAAATCGCTGGTCTAGACAATTATTTAACAATGTAACTGCATAAACCTAACAAAGCACAGACAAACCTCCAAATGCTTCTAGAACATTTTTTGAAAAAATATAAATAATCTGTATGCAAACGGTTAAATACACGCAAATTCTTAAATATGGAAATTAGAAAAGTAGATCCAACATCTAAAACATATTCCAGAAGCATGCTACATTTTTTGGAGGAAGGATCAGCAATCATTTTCTGAAAGGACCAGAGAATATGCATTTTTTGCCTTTTTGGGACAAAAGGACTCTGTCACAACTACTCTACTCAACCACTCAGCATAAAAGCCAGCCATACACAATATGGGCAGGGCTGTGTTCCAATAAAACTTTATTTATAAGAGCAGTCCAGCTGAACTTCACCCCCAAGCTACAGTGTGCTTGCCGGGTGAAATACCATGAATTCAAATTTCAAAATCCCAGACAGAATAAGTTTTAAATTAACTAGGTTTGGTTTAAAGAATAACAGTAAAGAAAAAAAATGTCCAGCTCAGCTGGAGAAGGCCAATGTTGCCTCAATTAGGAAAAAAAATGGAATTCACTGAGACAGAAATGGTGAGAAAATAAGAGCTCTGGCAGGTGTGGCTGAGTTGGTTGGAGCATCGTCCCACAGACCAAAGGGTCATGGGTTTAATTCTCAGTCAGGGAACATAACCAGGTTTCAATCCCTGGTTGTCACGTGTACTAGAAAGTGGCAAATCAATCTATCTCCCAACCTCCCTCTCTTTCTAAAAGCAATGAAAAAAATGTCCTTGGGTGATAAATAAATAAATAAGAAAATTATGTTTTGTCTCTGAAAACAATTCTTATACAGTCATGCAGGGAAAAAAAACACTTACATTTAACTCTATTATCCACAGTAATGTTACAAATAAGAGGTCAAAGGTGACAAACAAACAGAAAGTCCTCCTGACATCAGATATGCCTTTTTTTCCCCTTCCTTCATAGGACTCAATCCTGGCCATGAGCTGTGTAGGGTTGACGGAATGGACATTGCGCAAAGAAGCGTGAGAGGTCTGGCTCCCTGTGAGAACACTCTCCATGTCTTCTGGCACGGAGTTCATTCAGAAGGAGAGTTACAGGAGCTTTTTTCCAACTCCACCATCACTAGAGAGAAGAAATCTTTAGGGAATAAAAGAGAGACACCATGTTAAATCAGAGCTCACCTAACACCACAGGATCACCCACCCCGCCCCCGCCCCACCATGCAACTCTTCCTCAAAGCATGAGTTTTAACTGAAGACCCAGAGAGAATGTGAAAGGAGAAGTAATTCTTTTTTTAGATTTTTTTTATTGCTGTTCAATTGCAGTTGTCCCCATTTTTCCATTACTCTCCCCTGTCCTACCCATCCCCTATTCTCAATGTTAAGAATTAATACTACAAAATAGCTTTATGTAAAAGAATGACAGTAGAGAAGAATGCAAACTTATAGCCGTAAAGGACAAAGGACATTAATCACAACAAAAAGGTGTGCCTGATAACCTGGAGGCCTCTTGGTGAACAAACCCTCTCTTTCCCTGTGGGAAGATTATATCATATTCCTTTGGCTCTACTGAATGCACGTGCCTTTCTTTGGCCAATGTAACATGGGCAGAAGTTTGTGCGTCGCTTAAGTCCAGACCTTATGAACAAGTGTACAGTTCATCAGGCTCTTTTCTTTCTGCCATAATAACTAGCAATGTCCAGAAAGCAGAACATAAGAACATTTTCAAGATGGGTAAAATAAAATTTCAAAACGCTACTGGAATTTCCCTAAAGTAATATGATTCTATTTGGTACTATTCACAGTCCAGAACTCTCTTTACACTTGACCCTCATTTCTCTCCCTTCCCACACTCAGAAACAGAAGTCTTTTCCATATTTTCATACAATATGGTAAGATAAAATAACATGACATTTTGGAAACAATTTGGTATGTGAACTAAGATACTTTAAAATATTCATACAGCTTGATCTAGAAACCCTCTTTTTGAAATCCAGAAGAAATTAAATGTTGACCTTTTAGGCAAAATTTGATCTATGCCATTAGAGGTGGGGTTACTGATTGTCTTTGAGACAGAAGGAGGGAAAAGTGACTAGAGGTACAAGCCTAGTCAAGTTCAACTTCCTGGCCTAAGTAATGCTAACGTGACTCTGCTCACTTAGTAAAAATTTATTGACATAGGCAGTAGTTTTAGTGGTGTGTTTACCTATGAAAAATTCAAATGCTGTACACTTACGTATATGTACACATACGTGAATTGTATATGTTGTCTTTCAATAAAAATCTCTATCAAAAAAGACTTTATCATACCTATAATAACCTATTTGGAAAACAACCTAAATATCTAACAATAGGGGAATAATTATGTAAGTCATGGTATAGTTACAGTAGTCATTAAAACATAAAGCATTTATAGTAACATGAAAAATGCATGTATTACAATGGTAATTCGATTAAAATCTGGATACTAAATGGAATATACACATACACATAGTATGTTCACAACTCTGTGAAATATCAAAACCATACTATTAGCAGAATGTACCTGTAAAATATACCATATGTTAATACTGATTATCTCTGACTGATAAGATTATATTTTCCCCTTTTACTTTCTCTATTTTTTTCTAATTTCTTATTTTGCACATATTACATTTACAACAGAAGGAACTAAAATTCAAATATCATTTTTTTAGCATCCTGGACACATGTGACAGATTTCCTTGCCCGAGGCAGGGATGTGGCAGGAGGAAGCCTTGCACAGAGTATGCGCAGGGCTACAGCGTGAAGGATGAAGGGAAGAGCCCTCCTACCTGCTTTCAGCTGCTGATTAAAGGGAAAACCAGGGGCCAGAGCAGCATGGGTACCACAGAGGTTAACATGGTGGCAGTGGGAGGTGCTGACCTGACAGTCTAGCCTGGGAAAAAAACACGACTGGCTGAGGAGCTGAACCCTTCCAGAGCACACAGAACTTTGGGCCAGATTAAAAGGGAGGGAGGGCAGAGACTCGCTCCTTCTCTTCCTCTGGGACCCGTGCATAGCTGCATGGGCCAGAGCACTTGCAGGACCCAGTGGGCCCTGGGAACTGCATGGCCAGGTGACAGGCAATAGGCCCCATGGACGGAGTCCCTGCATGGGAGGCTGCCGTGGTCGCCAGCAGCCCTGGGCCTCTGGTGTAGGAAGCTGCTGTGTGGTGATGGCAGTGCAGGCGATATGCAGAGGCTCCAGGGAGACTGAAACCAGAGAGCTGTCCACTTAGCAGCCTTGTGCTTGGTAGGGCCGCTAAGAATGGGGGGGATTCCTGGGCATGGTTTTGGGTTTGTCTTTTTGGGAACAGTTTTTTTCTACATGTTGCAGAAGAGAGGAACCTGGAGCCAGGGGGTCCTGAGTGCCCCCAAATGGTACATTTTAATAAAGATCTTTTTCCTTCCCCACCAACCTTTGTCGTAGGCCTGTGCTCGGCAGCTGGTAGCTGAACCTTCCTTTTGTTCAGTAGCACTGAGATACTCTCTGGGGTTGGCTTAAGGAAAGCTATGCCTGAGTACTGAATAGCTGTACATGCAGAAACAAAAATCTGTAATTCAAGATTTATTCCAACCATGGGGAAAGCATGAGAAATGAGGACTGGCATCGAGAATTATAAAATAAAAACACCCCCTTATCTTTTTCTCAAATTTATGTGCAGAAATGAGAATCCTCTTTTGTTGTTTAGGTTTCTAAAAATGAGATTCATGTAGTTATTATTTTATCTAAATGGAAAACTATCTTCCACTGTACTATATTAGCTGGCTACTTCTACAACTATGCTGTATTAAACTACCTCAAAACTCAATGGCTTAAAACAACCCATATTCATTCTCAAGCTCACAGCTGAGCAGGCCACCTTAAGTTCAGCTGACCTAGACTGAGCTCAGCTGGGAACTCTGCTACAGGCTGGGCTTTGTAGAACTTGGCTTCAAACTGTGTTGGGTGAGTGGGTCTAAGTCTTCTTTCTACATGTATCTTCCTCCTTGGATCAGGACTGTCTGGGGCATGCTCTTTTATGGCAATTGGCAAGAGCACATTAGAATAGCTAGATCATATAAACACATTTAAAATCTCTGTATATAACATCGTATCTGCTCACCGTCTATTGGCCAAAATATGTCTCAGGCCAAACCCAAAGGCAGTAGAGCTGGGGTGTACACTCTACCCAAAGAGAGAGTGTAGGTAAGTGAATATTTGTTGATTGTTATTCCAATCTACCACAACTATCAATGTTCTAAATCAGGAGTTGACAAACTACAGCCTGCAGATTAAGTACGGCCTTTTGCCTGTTTTTGAATACTGAGCTTTATTAGAACACAACCATACCCACTCTTTTTGTCTATGGATGCTTTCACACTAAGATGGCAGAGATGATTTGTTCCAATGGAGACCATATGGTTACAAAGCTGGGCCAAATCTATAGCTGACTCAGCTTAGAACTGATACTACCCAGATGGCAAACAGCAGTTTCTTTGGAGCAGTAGCTACCACTGCTAGGGCTTTACAAAGTCTCATAATTTCTCATCGCTTCCTGGGAGGAGTAAAGAGTCAAAACAAGTCTCTCAACCCAACCAACCAGCCTTCTCAGTACTATTCTGGCAACAGCCATGACACTGTTCTCCTCTGAAAGAGTGTCAGAATAACAGACATTAAAAATATTTAATTCAGAAAGACCTTAGTCATCATCTTATCCAAAGGTACAGGGAGCAGATTTGGCTTAAGACATGTTTTGCTTGGTCTTATACAGTGTTTCTAAAAATTTCAAACTGTTAACATTTTAAATAGTAATTTTTCATATAAAAACCCAGATGTCCAGCTTCTCTTGAAAAGTTAGGAGATATAGAATCACCAGGCCTGCATTTCCTTACCATGATGAAAAAAGCCATGGCACACGCATTAGCTTTAGTCTTGACCTAGCCTGGCGGCATTGGAGTTTTCTACTGTGATCTATTCCCACTCCCTTGTTTTACAGGCAAAGAAGTGCATTAATACCTGAAGACTGTCTCTCATCCTGTTGTTTCAGAGCTCTCTTCATCTTTGTTATCAAAGTTATTTTTGCCTATAAAGTAAATGTTTACTTATATTAAAACAAAAAGAAGCTGAAGCCTTGTGTGGATTATAGGGATGCACCCATCTAAGAGATATTTCAAGACATATATTAGGATTAAAATTTTGGTCTTCCATTTCTTTCCTCTCCATCACCTTGCCTCACCTCAGATTCCTAGAAGGAAATCAGTTATTGCAAAGTAGGTGAAAAATTCCATAAAGCATTTCAATAAAAATCACCTAACCAATTGTTTATTACTTTAAAAACCTTTCCTGAGATAAGGAGTAAAATTTTGACAGCAGATCCCTATTAATTTGCCTACAGAAATAAGTGAAATACTTCTAAAAGAAAAAAAAAAAGACTTGTGTGCATGTATGAAACTCTGCAAGGCTTTTTATAGATCTGCCCATATCATCGAGGCTTCAATGGGGAAAAGGTACAGCAGAGAATTTTGAAATAACTAAAGTAGTAACACTGCCCTATGAGAGTTAAACTATAAGTTCAACACAGAATGAATTCAGAGTAGATGTGCTGTGTCCTTGAAGAAGCAAACTGGCTCACAGACCAAGATATGAGTATAAAGTGACAGGACATATTTCGATCTCAAGGGGAGAAGAGGGAATTTGCCAAGAAGAAAGTCTGGAAGCACAGGAAAAGAAATGTCACAGGCAAATGGCAGCAGTACCCAGCCTGGCACTCCATCCACTGGCCAGATTAATTCCTATGATGAATGTAAAAGCATGAGGGTACTGTCAATCCTTTTTCACACTAAACAATTTAATAATTCCCTGTATGCCTCCCACAACCTTTTAAAATTCTGTTTCTTATTAAAATTATATTCATTGTAAGGAAACAACAGATGGGTCAGCTTGAAATTAATATTTAGTTTACATGGCAGCTATAATGTTCACTGTACATTCTGAGACACGAGTCTACTGACAAGAAGCAGAGCCACTCTCCACAGGACTCTGCAGCCAGAAGCTGATAATCATGCCTCTTGGTCAGCAATAAAGAGGGCTGCAGTCGAACCCTAAGAAAGTCATTACTGTGAGAAGCTTTTTAAGAGGTAGACTCTAGACATGTCCTGATGACCCACAACAGCATTATCGGGTACAAAGTGCTCTTTGGGAACTTCTACAGATACCATTCAGATAACAACCCAATATTAGTTAGCTACCACTAAGTATTAGCATATCCTGTATACAGTATGCAAGTAGTAATGTTTGGAAACAGAATTATAAGAGGTTGTATCATCACTACTGTATTCTGCCAATATCTCTTTATAAACTAACATGACAATCACCTTTAACTTTCCTTAAGTAGAATTATTAAACCAGCTGTCAGGCTCAAACCAAAGTTACAATACCTGAACTTGTGCAATGGTAATACAACATTTGCTTATTTTAAATCTGACTTGCAAGTATTTCGGTCTGATTACTAATTCATAACCAATAAAAAGGGTAGTTACACAGTTTAGCCAAAAGTTTTTAATTAGTACACAAAATCTTCAAAAACTCAGTATTCATAAGTAAGCTCTAAAGATTCTGACATACATCCTCTCAACTCAGCAAATCTAGCTAATATTTGGATTTCTAAAAAATAAGGTTTAAGATTTACCACTCGGTATCAATGTATGTCTTACCAGAAAGAACAAAGATGTAAAATACATCTTTAAAAACTAATAAAATACAAAAGCTAAGTAAATGATAGATTTAATCAAAATGGGAGGTTTTGAGAGTTTACTTTTTAATCATTTTGGTATTTTAAAGATGTAAGTATGGAAATAGTAGTGTGAACTCTGAGGAAGAATATGCCTATTAAGAAGGGCTCCTGGTGGCTTATCAGAACTCAGATTTAAACAAACAAACAAACAACACAGAGCCTAGCTATTTCTACATATGGGCCTCTCACAGAAATTGCTCTTCAGGGAGAAGCCTGCACTGAATTACCTTCCTCTGCATTGAACTGCCTTCCTGCACTGTGTTTATGCCATCTTAGCATGCCCTTATAAAGGAGCTCCGGGAATCCTGTTTCAAAAAACAGGTTCCATCAGCTTCTTCACCGACCAATCAGAGAAGCCCCATTCTGACCAATCAGGACAGTGCCTTTTTGACCAATCAGACCATGAGGATTTGGAGTCCTCCTTGCCACAAGGATAAACCAATTAGGGACCAGGAGTGGGGACTTCTGTCTATATAAGCCAGCTCTCCTCTGGCTTGGGGAGCACACTTTACCTTTCCACTTAAGACTGAAGAGTGAGTTTCCCTTGCCGAGGAAGCAAAGTAGCCCAGAATGAGGCAGACTAGGGTACAGTAGAACAGAGCAGACCGGCACAGTGTGAAGCTTCTGGCATGGAGCAGAGCAGAGCTGTCTAGCTGGAGAGGGGTCTGGCCCCAGGGCCAATTCAGTTGTGCTGTTTTCACAGAAGTGATGTATCTCAATTGAGCTGTTCTGCACTGCATAGTTTCCTTCTTCACCTCCCCCTACTTGGAGACTCCTGTTGGTGCTGAACTGACACCAATTACTATTGGTTGACAGTAGATTATCTGAACAGTGAAATTTTTTTTGAAGATTGATACTTATTTTCTTAACCCTACAATCAGAGACTATATGCTATTTGAGAGTAAAATACGTCATGTCCACAAAATTGATCATAAAACTAGACTACTAAAAGTATGTAAAAGTCTTGCATTTAGGAACTATAAAGAAAACCAACAATGCTCAAAGGAGATATTTAAGACATTGTAATACTGAAAATAATAACATTTAAATATATTTACAAATTAAATAACCTACAGAAAACAGTGAGAGTAAAAACAGTAAAAAGTTATCGAACTTGAGCTTACCATCAAATTCACTTCCTTAAAGTGCTTTCATTACTCTTCGAAATTACTTTTTAAATAAAGAGTAAAAATAAAGAATTGGGCATTTAATAAAGTTATAAAAACTACAAGTATCCTATGGGGGAAAATATAAAAAATAAAATATATGACTACAGTTAATAAACATATCCAAAAGGAGGATGATAATTTTTCCAAGCGGGGGCATGGATAAGATGTGATTCATTATACTAAATTCTACTTTTGTACGTGAATAAACATTTCCACAAATTTTACATTTAAAAGAAATTTAAAATAAATAAACCCAAGAATCAGCCTTTTAAAACAGTAAATAGGCAAACCTAAATTGAGGAGGAAGAGGCTAAGAAAGGAATGCAAATACCACTATAGAAAAGGTTATTTTTTCAAAATACATGTGATACTTTACATTAATTACATTTGGAAATCATAAAGGCAATACTCTGGAAGATGCAGATGGCCTGAATAGAATGATCCACACCAAAAAGAAAAGGGAAAAAGCTGACAAAGAAACACCTAGCAAAGGAACTAGAGTCAGACAATTTGATAGATACTTCAAAATTTGAAATAAAAGATAAAATCCTATAAACTGTTACAGTACATTAAAATGAGAGCTATCCTATCATTAAATAAAGGTAGCATGATAGTGACATTACCTGACCAAGAACACACAAGAAGATAACACAACAAAAGTATAAACTAATTCCACCTGTTAATTTATTACTATGTAACACGTGTACCATATATTAACATAATGAAAAAAACAATAGTTTTTTTACACCAAGATTGTGTCAGACACAATGCTGAGTATTTAACATATATTAATTACATGTTTAAGCCTCACAACAGCTCTCACAAACAGGATCCATGTACTAGAAATATTCCTGAAACATTACGTAAGTCAAAATCATTGAACTAAAAGCTAAACCTAATAGGAAGGAAGATATTTCTGTTTACCCATTAAAATGTTTCATTGCATTTCAAAAGCATACATGAACTCAAACTTACAATTCATGCAGGACAAAAAAACATTACATTTTGACTGGTTTTTAATTTGGGGGTACTGGCTAAACATCTAATATCTCCCACTTTTCTTAAAATGTGTCTCTCTCAAGTTTTTTATCCCCATGTTTTCAAAGAGACATAAGGAAATATATTAGTAATGTAAGAAAAACAGTGTAAGCTGAAAGAATATTGGCAACTGACAATGAGGCTTGGGAGGAACTAGAGGCAAAGAGGAGAGGAATGTGTGCAGGATCTTCACAGACCACACATATGGACACAGAGACACGTTTTTGATTTATCAGTATAAGCCATAAATCTGAACAGTAATAAGAAATTTACCAAGCATCAAGCATTAATTCAATTTTAAAAAATAAAACCAGAGAAGATCAAGGAAAACGCATAACTTGAAAGTCACCATCTAACCTTTACTTTTCTAAGGTTTTCTGCAAAGAAAAACTTCTGTAAACCAAAAAATATCTACAGATGATGATGTCATCAAAACCCAATTGCAAAGGAATAAAACTATTAAAATAGTCATTCTAATAATACATGGAGAAAGAAATCTACAAATCAAAATATACTTAAGTTTTCCTTTAATACTTAATAAAGCAACTATTTGCATAAGCTATGTATTAGAAAAAATTGTAGATAATGGAACAGATGATTTTAGGATGAGAAGTTCTAAGAAAATCCATAAAGGGAAACAGCTCTAATACATAAAAATCAAAACTTCTCTATCTTAAAAAAACCTTAAAAATGATTTAAAAAATAAAGAAATGATTAAAACTTAATTAGAAAAATAAGCAAAAAAAGACAAGGCACACAAGAAAAATAAGTATATTGATAAAACAAAAGAAATTCTCACCAATACCACTAAGTTTTTTTAGAGAAGCAAATTAAATTTATCAGCCCTAGCTGGTGTGGCGCAGTGGACTGAGTGTCAGCCTGCAAACTAAAAAGTCGCTGGTTGGATTCCCAGTCACGGCACATGCCTGGGTTGCAGGCCAGGTCCCCAGTAGGGGGCGCATGAGAGGCAACCACACATTGATGTTTCTCTTTCTCCCTCCCTTCCCCTCTCTAAAAATAAATAAATGTAATTTTTTTTAATTTTTTATTTTTAAATCATGTTTATTCTATTAGAGTTGTCTCATTTTCCCCTTCTGCCCCCCTCAACCCAACCCACCCTGTCCCCCTCTCTCACAGTCAATTCCTACTTTGTTGTCCATGTCCGTGGGTCATTCATACATGTTCTTTGTTTAGTTCCTTCTCCTTCTTTCCACCATTGTTCTCCCCCATCCCCTCTGGTCACTTTAAGTCTGCTCCATGTTTCCGTGCCTGTGGTTTATTT